AAGGAGGGGACTTTGTAGAAAACGAAGCGTTTGAGAGAGGCGGGGCATAGAGGACCTACAATAATGTACAGTATTTGAAAAATAATGTGTTTTTTGAACATTAAAGCATGTCAGCATATTCTGTTACACCAAATACACCAAATAATGATCTTTAAAAAAGCATCATATGACCCCTTTAAAGTCAGCAGGTGCATAAGACAGCGCTACGTCCCACTTGAAAAAACAAAATATTTTTACACTTTTGTCAGGGTCTTTGGGAAAACAATGAAAGGCAAGATTTTTACTGTCACACTGATAGTTTTTGCAGTGCCCAACATTGCGTTCTTTTATTCCACTTTGACTTCTCTTTCGTTGTTGTTCTGTCTATTTCTGTGTATCTGTGCTGTTGTCCAGTTGGAATTTTTACTCCAAAATGGCGACCACGCTACCGAAGTGCCACCTAGTGGCTGTTACCCAAAAAGCATCAGAGTTTCGCCTCTTGGTCTTCTATGCTCTTTGCTGCGATCTTTACACACGCCACCATGGGGCGTGAAGGGGAGATGGAACCAGGTGGCGAAAGACCAGCCTGAACAGCATGAATGCAAACCCATAGTCACGATGTAACGTTTGCCTGCTAACCCATAATTTCTCTTATAAACAAAGCTTTGTATCTTGTCATACTTGCATTCAAATGTTTCATGTGAGCAGCAGTGTTTTCCGTAGCACCGCCGATAGAAGCGGTTCTCTGACTGTGCGGCGCAGCCCCACGAGCCGCAGTAACGTTTGGGATCATTTTATTTTAAATGCCAATAATTTCAATTGCAAACGTTGCGATTGTGTTTTAAAATACAACAACGAGTACAATTAAACTATTTAAAGAGGCGCGTTCAGCGGTCTCCGTGACGGGATCTGAAACAGCCAACAAAGTAAAATGATCCGTACTACGGCGCGCTCTCTTCATTTTATCAAATGATCATAATCACATCTATTCATTTTACAGTCCTGCTACTAGCCTTTTATTTAGACTAAAATCCCTTTAATTCGGGTGAGAAAGCATGCGTTTTGAGTGGCATTTGCACATCCTGTCATGCAGGTGAATATATGCCACTGCAATAGATGCATTTCGCAGTATTAAGGTTAACGATTAATCGATTAATTGATCATTAATTTAAACGACGATCGATCATGGAAATTATCGAAAATTGACATCACTAGTAGTAACCTTTTCTTGGTGATTTGCTTTGTTTCCAGGAGCACAGGAAGAAATTGACTACTCCGCAAAGTTGAAGTTCAGCGATGATGAAGGAGAGGATGATGGGGAAGAGGAACGGTCTGAAAACAAAAATGGAACCCGGTAAGCATTTCCAAAATGTTTTCCCATTGGTCGATTAATTTAACTTTTTGCAAACTGAAGTTCTTTTTGAAAACGTTGTTTTTATATTTTGTTGTAACAGGGAGCCAAGGGAGCAGCAGAGATCCCAAGATGGGCCTGCACCTGTTTCACGTTCCCGGGCATCCGACAGTGGAGGGGATTCACGCCGCACCCCTCCTTCCTCTGTTGAAGATGGCTCCGCTTCCCCCTCCAGCAAGCCAGGCTGGGCCGAGGAGGGTGGAAGCAACTGGAGCAGTCAGGCAAACGGAGGATCTTATCAGGTATGCATCTCATCTCCCCATCTAGGTCCAAGCCCTTGGTACCACTGGCCTTTGCCAAATAGTGTACAGTCACTGTGAGGACAGGAGCATGCTTGTGGTGTTTCCTGGATGACTCGCTGATTGATACATGTACCCCTATGCAGGGGCGTAGGCCTGGACTAGGTGGTCCAAGGGAGCAGCCCTCCCCCCCACTAGGTCCACTTCTTGGACAAGGGCCCTACTCCTACTACCGCCAGGTACATGGGGAAAGAGTCCAAGAAATAGGATGGATACGACATGAAGCACTAGCAATAGCATGTTGGTGATTTAGGAGGTGGTGGTTGTATTGGTGAACTTTAGTTAATAAACCGCCTTCTGTCAACAGGACCGGCCTTCGAACCAGTCGCCAATCTCAGGCCCCATCCTAGCCCCCCAGAAGCCCAGTGGTGCCCAGGCACAGCAGCAGGCGGGGGCAATGCCTGGTGGGCCGACCCCTCCTCCTTCCAACACTCTGCATCCCCAGCAACAGGGTGAGGATGAGGATGAGACATGGCGGCAACGGAGGAAGCAGTCATCAACTGAGATCTCTGCTGCGGTAGAGCGTGCCCGTCGGCGGCGTGAAGAGGAGGAGCGGAGGATGCAGGAGGAGCGCCGTGCTGCCTGTGCAGAGAAGCTGAAAAGACTTGATGAAAAACAGCAGCAGCAACAGACTATGAAACCCAGCACCCCCAGTGATGCTCCTACCAACAGTTCTAGTCCTTCCTTGTCTGCATCTGCTTCATCTCCCAATGTCAGTCAGCCACCATCACCCTGTGTGGACACTGAAGACCCTCCTCTATTATCTTCTCAGGGAAGCAGTGCAACACTAGGATTGAATATTAATAACAGACAGCGGGCTGGTAGCAACAGCAGCCATGACTCCAACACTGGTTAGTATTCCATAAATAGTTACAAAAAATGTCTAGTGTTTTGGTTGAATGGGCGATATATTTCTTCATCGTTCTAATAATTGGCGGACTTTCCTTGGTGAATTTGTTGTAGAAGATGATGAGCAGATTACAGTATTTGTTTTAAATAAGCTGAAATGTAATATGTAACATGTATGATTTCTTCTTCATTCAGAGTCTCAGCAGGCTCTGCAGCCTCAACCCACCCAGCACCCACAAACCCTGGATGTCCCAGTGCCTGGAGATGCCAAGGAGGAACCTGTGGTGCATATCCGCACTAGAGGTGGAGATGACACAGTGAAGGTGGTTGAAAATGTTGGTGGAACAGGACGGCAGGGAAGTGGTCCATCTGGGCAGAGCTTTTCCAAGTATCAAAAATCGCTTCCTCCTCGTTTTCAGAGGCAACAACAGGTTTGTGTTGGATGTTTTGTCTCTACATATGGGAAAAGTCGTATCCATTAATCAGAATCAGAAGAGCTTTATTACCCAGTATGTTTACACACACAAGGAATTTGACTTGACGACAGGAGCTACCAGTGCAGAAGAAAGTTCAGACAGTGCAGACATACATGTTGGTGCAGACATACATAGGAATAACACAGTAGGAATGGAGTGTAAATTATGAACTTGACTCTCACAATTAGTGCTTCAGTGCTTTAGTTTTAATCCCTTCAAACTAGAGTTTTAAGATTAGACGCGTGTGACTGAGTCCATTTTCAGGAGTTATGTTAATTTGATTATTGTAATAGGAGTACACTACCTTTACACCCAAGCAAAAATATAAAGAACATTTTTATCTTTTAACATACTAACAAATATACGTCTTTATACTCAGATACTGGGTTTAAAGTTTGACAAACATAAAAAAAAATGTTATTGTATAAAATGTGGTCTGTATCATTTTTGGACAGGAGCAACTTCTCAAACAGCAGCAGTGGCAGCAGCAGCAACATAACCAGGTTGCCCAAAATCAGCTCCAGTCCCAGCCTCAGAATCAGCAGGGCCCCTCTCCAGGTACCACATCACAGTCTGGGCCCAAACAGCCAACCCTTTACCCTCCTGGCTCAATGGGACGTCCTCCACCTCTGCCTATGAACTTTGATCCCCGCTGGATGATGATGCCCTACATGGACCCACGAATGATGCAGGGACGTCCCCCACCCATGGACTACTACACTCCCAGCATGCATCCATCTGGTTAGTAAATAACGGAGATCAACTGAATATTAGTCAGACAGTCTTGGTGTCCAGAGATTATAGGGGCTTTTATGTTTCAGGGATGATGAGTCGAGAGCGTTCTGATTCAGGTGGCTCTGGGTCAGATCCGTTTGATAGGCAGCAACATGGTGGACCCCCTCATCCCCGTCGTGGCACACCTCCAATGGATCCCAAACTGGCTTGGGGACCAGATGTTTTTCCAGGGGGTACTGAGGGTCGAGGTCTAAGCTCCCCCCTACGGCAGAAAGCTGTCGAGGAAGAGGAGGCTGGCAAAGGTCAAAGGTAACAAGAAGCTATTTAAACATTAATACATATATAAATACAAAGTTATTGTATTTAAACCAGTTTCTATTAAAATTCTTTATTCCAGATTTCTTTCATTTGTTTCAGAAGCATGATTCATTTTTCTTTTTTAATGTTTCTAGAAGTGACACTCCTCCAGTACTTATGCGGGAGGGAGGCACAGCTCCCATTCATCCGCCCAGCTCTCCATCTGGTTCATCTAACCAAACCCCACCACCTCTTGGGATTCAAGTTGGGGGCCAGGGTACTAGCCACCATGCCCATCATCAGCCCTTTATGGGTGGGCGAGGAGGTTACAGTAGCTACCCTGACAATGGATCCAGAATGGGCTCCCACTTGCAGCAAAGGGCCAGCAGTGGAGGAACACTGCATGGTTTTGGCCACCAGGAGGGTAGTCAACAGAGCCAAATCTGGGGGACTCCTCATCTCCATTATGACCGTAATGGCCGTTCTGATCACTCGGCCTTGGAGACCAACTCGCATCTCCAACATGGTCCCCCCACTCACGCCCCTCATTTCTCTCTTCATCCTCATAAGCAAGAGAATGGCAGAGAGCGAGAAAAAGGGGGGGAGCCAAAAAAGAGTGACCCTTCACCTCCACTCCATCAGCTGTCCCTTTCCCCTTCCTGTTCATCATCATCATCTTCCTCAGCTAGAGAAGATGGTAGTGGAAAACAGTCCTTACATAATCAGGTCCCACCACCAATTGAACATGATACTGGATCTGCTCATGCTTCAGGAAGGAAACAGGAGAAAATGGGAAATGCACAAAATCAGCCCCAGCAGCATTCTGTGCAGCAGCACCACCCTAAAGCCAACCCTCGCAGTCGGGAGCACAAAACTGAGACACACTGGGGCCCGAGGCCTGGTAGCAGTAACGTGACTGGGGGCTCAACCCATAACAGAAAGGCACCGGGCTCTGGAATGAGTGGAAATACTGAAGAACCTGCAAATCATGGGGCTGAGAACAAATCCTTTACTCAATCAGATGGCACCACAGCCAAGCGAGCAGGTCCAATTAAGAGACCAGTAATTAAAGAGATGAAAAGAGAAGGTGGTGAAGGAGGAGGAGAAAAGACCACTGGAGGCTCTGGTAAAGATAAAGAACAAGATGCTAGCCAGATCGCAACCAAACTAGAAACGGCCTCTGGGGCTCAAGGCTCCTCAGCACTCGGTGGGAAAGATGATGCAGTCTCATCAAATAAACCCAGAACTGGCGGAAAGGAGCGAGGTAACACTGGGGGTACAGGTAAAGGATCCAAAAATGGAGAAGGCTCTATCCAGAATTCTGGCTCTTCAGCTCCACAGTCCAGGAGGGAAAGAGAGCATTCTGCTGAAAGAGGGAGCACAACTTACCATGCATCTTCGTCCAGAGGTAGCCGATCCAACCGTGGCCGAGGAGAGTTCTACGGCAGAGGCCGAGGCTACAGGGGCACTTACACTGGCAGTGCAGGTGGTGGCAGCCGTGGCAAAGCAGGTGGCAGGAGCAGCAGGGATTATAGATCAGCTGCCAACAGTGGCTACCACCATGCACCTTCTAATCAAGAATACAAGCGAGAGGCATCATCTGGCAGTGGTAGGCATAGACATGGGGGCTCTCAGCCAAATCCGGGACGTGCTAGGAACCGAAGTGAGACTCGAAGTGAAGGCTCTGAATATGAAGAGGTGCCAAAGAGGAGACGACAACGGGGATCTGAAACAGGCAGTGAGAGTGCTGGTAGTGACCTTGCTCACTCAGACAAGGAAGACCGCAAGCCAAACACCAAGACTGGCGTTGGAGGAGAGAACCCTACAACAGGCCCTTCATCTTTTTCAGCTCCAAACAGAAACTCCCAGACAAGAGTGTTCACACCAAGGGGAGTGCCCTCTAGACGTGGCAGAGGTGGTGGTGGTGCTGGAGGAGGTCTCCATAGAAGTGGAGGTAGTGCTGGAGTGTCTGGTGGACACAGATCTGGACCTGGCTCTGGTTCTCATGGCTGGTCTGCAAAATCTGCAACTGTGCGAAAGCAACAGACGTCCTCACAGCCACCCCCTCCTAAAGATTCAGGCCGTGGAGCCAATGTTGACAAGAAGAAAGCTGCAGACCAGAATCAGTCTCAGAGTCAAGGTGCAAATCCCTCCGCACCTAATCCCTCTGTGCCTACAGCTATCCAACAGGGGTCCACTGAGAACGGAAGCGCTGGAGCCCCACTGTCCTCAAGTAATGTTCCTTCAAATTCCACTGGCACTCCTGCCCAGACTCTTCCTCTGTCTGCCCCCGACGGACGAGGTTTCCCTAACCGGGGATTTGAGCGCCCCCCTCGTCGCAGACGCCACGGACGATCCCAGCATCAGCAGGACAAGCCTCCCAGATTCCGCAGACTTAAGCAAGAGCGAGAGAATGCAGCCCGTATCAATGGAAGCAGTGGAATTATTGAAGTCGTAGCTGGACAACAGCAGCGGCCTGCTTCACCTTTGCAGAAATCCCTGCAAGAAACCAATAGCACTCCCAATGCATCCACAGCAGCTGTTGCAAATGCAAAACACAGTGTGTCTGCAACTTCTAACAATAATAATAACAGCAGCAACCTTGGGGGTGGAAACCAAAATTTCAATAGCCACCACCACCATCACTACCAGGGCAACTCCCAGTCGCACCTTCAACACCATCACAACCATAAACCAGCTGGGGGCGCCAAATCTCCAGACGTCTCTAACCAGAACTCTGATCAGGCCAACGAGGAATGGGAAACAGCCTCCGAAAGCAGCGATTTCACCGAGTTTCGAGAAAGAGAGGGTGGAGGAGGCGGTAAACCCTATTCCTCCCACCATCATCATCACCACCACCACCACCACCATCCATCCGGAAGAGGTGGTGGAGGCGGCGGTGGGGGCGAGAGAGAGATGACAGCTAAAGAATTGGCCACCAGCAAGAGAAGCTTCTCCAGTCAGCGCCCTGGAATGGAGAGGCAGAACAGAAGGGTTAATGCCGGTGGTGGTGGTGGTGGTGGTGGTGGAGGAAGAGGCCCCAGGGGTCCGCCTGGCGCTGGTGGGGCGGTGGGTGGCGCTGGCAATGGTGGGGGCAATCGTGGTGAGAGGCGTGGCAACTGGCCCTCTCCTAAGAACAGGAAGTGATGCTTTGTTTTTTTTTGTTTTTTTTTAATTTGGAAATATTTCAAATGCATCCCTCTATCATTGGCCACTCTTTTCTATAAAACCTCTTCCCTCCTTAACCTGTTATCACTTTATTATCGTAAAAGATTAGTTACTAAGACCATGAACAAATTGTAGTTCTTTTGGTTTATAGCTTTTTGTCCTTTATTTGGAAATTCACACTCTGTGTCCTTTCATGCTCCCATAAATCCTAAACTCTACTCTGAGATTTTACATACTACACCCCATTTTAATAGAAATATTTGCTGACTGAAAATGCATATGACCACATGGCCCATTTACGTTGGCATATACAAGCACAAAATGACATCAACCTAACAAAATTGTGCTTAGTTTGTGTATGCTGGGTATGCACACGTTACGTGTGTTTGTGTAAGAACTGTGGCTTGAAGTATATATGAAAGGTCAAGGTTGTTATTATGTACTTGTGTATTCACATCACATGTTGGATGCTGGAAGTTGCTATTTTAATGAGAACAAATGTATCATAGATTTGTTTTCCCCCTTTTTGTGTTGTTAATTTTTCTTTTCAGCCTCTTAAAGGTGAGGATATCTTTTTTTTTTTTCGGAAAGCAGATCATTAAAACTCATTTTTAAATAAAACCCTCTTCATTTTTGGTTCAAACTCACATTCTGTTGTGCCCGCCAAGTATCTCCCCAATGCGCTACTTTTTTTTTTTTTTTTTGAAAATCGCTGCAATGCCCACTTTTCAGAACTATGTGGTGTATTTTTCCTTATGTTAAGTTATAGGTCCTCTCTACTCATTGCTTTGGGTTTTCAAATAGTTTCATTAGCTGTTTTGGCCTCCGCATGGAATTGTAGTCTAATAGTGCACATTATACTTGTTAATATTATTAGACGATGATCTTAATTCAAGGTCCTTCAAAAGTTCCTCTTCATGGATCACATCGTTTTAAGGTTGTTTCTGTTGTGATCAAATCAGATGACTCTTAGCCTTAGTGTCAGATCCTCATTAAATGATATGTTTTTTTTTTTTTGAGAACATCCGTTAAAGATTTTCTTTTGTCTTGCACTTATATTAAGTCCGTAAACTCCAAAACTCTCCTTTAGAATAAAGATCGTTCAATGTTTTTTTTCTTTTCTTTCTCCTCTAAATGAATAGCTGTATATTTGGCATCTTATCTGACTAGGTGTCATACTGCAGTTCCAGGTTATTGAACATGACGAGTATTGTGCTACTGTTATGTTCACTTAACAGTTCTAGGGAGTGTAGAGAATCACTCTTTGACCACCCTCTGCATTGTAAATTCCCTTTTTCCTTTTTTTCTTTTTTTTAAAGGAACCTACACAAGCTCTTCCTCCAGTGTGTATTTCCAAAGTCCCCCAAAACATGTCTCAGAACTATGAGCAGCTGTCTTGCTCACATCCTCGGACTGATCTTCAATTTACCAGTCATCTCATTGAGACACAAGTCAATGCCAAGGAGTCTGTGGCCCTTTTTGAGTAGTGTTACAAAATGAGACATTGCTTCAATGTGCAATATGCCCGACATCAAACAAATTCTGCCCATCCAGGGAGCCTGAGCCCAGGTTATTGAGAAACCACAAATGCTTGACGTCTAAAAAGAAACGGATCAAAGCATTGTTCCCTCCTCATTTTGACCAGCATCTGTATCCTAATGGTGTAAGTTGGGGTTTGTTTGTTTTCTGGGAATGCCTTGGTCTAATGAATAGCTTTGAAGTAATAAGTAGGGCTTTCAAATGACATGTATGTGTGAGTAGGGCATCTAAAAAGTATGTGTGAATTTATATCTGATCTCTACATGTAATGTGTTCTTTTGAGGATAGAACTCTTTGTGAAAGGCGAACACGAGTCCCAATTGCCCACCTTTTCTGACACTATTAGGATGTTTATTTTATCTAGGATTGTGTGTATATGTTAATCCAAATGAAGTGCAGTGGAAAAAATGTAAACTCGATATATATATTTTTTCCTACCTACTAAGGAAAAGAACTAAAGTGGGTTAATTTTACTTTTCTTGCAGACGTTTTGCCAAGCATGGTTTCGTCCTCCGATACAGCTTGGTTGGTCTATTCGTTGGAAGCTGTTCTCCCATCAGCTTTCAGTGCTGTTTATCATCCCTCTTAAACCTAAACCATTGATGTGGTCACATTATATGTACCAATATAGAGTAAAAAATGAATAGCAATGTGTATTCCTTGAAATACTCAGAGATTGTATTATACTTCTAACCATACCAAGGTACCTGAGGTTGTTACTGCTGTCCTAGCATCTATGGCTTATTATTGGAACCTTGATATATACACACCTGTATGTATATTGGTATGCATCTGAGTTTGTCCGCCCCAACTTACATTCCCACACACAATTGTTGCCATTTTTAAGTTCAAGGGAGCAATGTACAAGACGAAGAAGTGTCTTATTATAATAAAAAGTATACAGAGAAAAAGTTAAATAAAAATCTTTTGTTTTAATGGAAGATCTGTGGTTTGACTTCATTTCATCAGTGTCATTAAGAGTATGCTAAATATGAATTGAGGCCTTTTGAGGCTTTTTCCCCCCTCATACTTCCAAACTATGTCCGTCATAATTTCACTGATTTCCTCTAACGTTACATGTTTTAGGTACACACATTTGACAACAATTACTGCTATAAACGTGCTAAATTATTGCTGTAAACATTGTTAAATACGTTACATTTTTGTTATTTGTTTGTGGTTGACCCACGTGCATTCCAGGAGGGAAAGTACAGCCATGCATTGTAGAATTTCTATTATTTTCCATATCTTAGCATAAACCTTAATGTCAGTTTTGCAATATTATTCGACAACCTCAATATTTTATTATATTAACATATTACGTGAATACTTGGTCCTACTCTACTCTCCAGTCCAGATACTAGCGAGAAGAAGACTACGAATGGGGAAAAACCTCTGATTATAAAGACTACAATTCCAACAAGACCCGCAGATCTGTGAGAGCGGAAGTGACCTGTTTTATGATCACGTGCTGTACGTAGAGCTGTAGCCTCCAATCAGCGTACAGTTGTATCGCTGCGGCTAACATCGACCCCGGGAGATCCTTGAGGTAACACGAATAAACGCTTTTTATCGCTATAATGGACAGGAATATCTAGTAGTTTCGATATGTGCGCAGTTTTGAGTTATTTCTGTGAATTCATTGTTAATTGTATGTGTTAGGACTCTCTTCAATCGACATATTTTAGAGACAGTCGGCGAGTTTGCTGCGGCCTACGTTTAAGCGTTAGCTAGCAGCGGCACGCTAAACTCATCTATCGTTAGCCGAACACACCAACTACAAAATGGACATTTATCAAGATACAAACCAGCCTTTTTAACGTGCCAGTGGTTTTACATTTTGCTCACACATAAGCGCATTTGTCCATATGTGCTTTATTGACTCGGTGATTAGGTAACCAGCCGGCTGTGTTAGCGTGCGTCAGGCCAGTCCAGTCTGTTGTTTACGTGAAGACGGTTAGCGTTATACGCGATGCATTTTTTTAAATAAACGTGCTTACATGAAACAAATGAACTCCGCAATATGATTTTATCATTTTCGTTCTGTAGTAACTGTAAAGACCGACTAAGAATTTTTGGAGCAGTTATTGTCTCTGTTATTTAATTTTATCGTTTAATGTTGTTCTACTATCTCCTTTCTAGTTTCCCAACATGAGTAGCTCAGAGGAAGTGTCGTGGATTTCTTGGTTTTGTGGTCTACGGGGAAACGAGTTCTTCTGTGAGGTTTGTATTCGTTTGTTCATCTCATTTTGTGTATCTATATAAGGGTGACCAGGGCGTGTTAAAATGTAAGCTTAACCATTTAGTCTGCCGTTGTCTGCATTAATATTGATGTATGGTACATCTCTTTTTACTCCATACAGGTAGATGAGGACTACATTCAGGACAAGTTTAATCTTACAGGACTCAATGAGCAAGTTCCCCATTACAGACAAGCCCTTGACATGATCCTGGATCTGGAACCTGGTCAGTGATTGTTTAACACAGGCTTTAATGGGTTTAAGGCAGCGTTGAGTTAAAATTAATGTGTTTTTTGTGTAGGTTTTATTTTTTAAATAATGCTTAACCTAATAGTTTCATCAAAATGCCATAATCCCGTGGTAAAAATGACAGTCTTCTCTCTGGTGACGTATGCAGGATTTCTCCAATCATTTATTCCCCTTAAACCCTGTTCATCAGTCTCCCCGATGGAATGCGACGGCCACATCTCAACATCCAATCAACCACTGATGCATACATTTAAGTCCTGCCCTAATTATTTTTCTTATTTACACTGATGTGTCAACATATTGAAGAAAAGATCTATTGCTACTTCTGTTTCATTGTGACTTGAAGGTTATGTGCTTTAGGCTGTGCACGCAACCAACCAGGCACATTAAAAATGTAATTTTAGGCACGATCTTTTAAAACCAAATCCACGAATCCCCCTCCCAGAGAGCAGATGAATTCACTCTCCTTTCTGACATTATCTGTTTAATGTCTTGAACCAAAGTTAGACAATTGCTTATTTTATGCACGTATGCCCATAATTATCTGCCTAAAGGTAAATGTTTCCCGGAAATACGCATATTGTAACTTAGTTTGTTTTGAGTGATTTAAATGTGATGCAAATAAAGCATGAATGCATTTGCTCTTAAGTGCAACACCTTAAAACATACTAGAGAAGACCTGCATTTCCCTGTTTAAAGTCACTATGAAATCAAAATGGGCAGTTCTTTTATTTATGGAATGTTAAAATGCATTATAAATTACTTATCCGTGTGTTATTATAACTCTTCTCTGATGGTGTGTGCACTGGCACAAGCATGGGACAAGAGTCCCTCCAGCAACTTGTCACTCGCATCCAATCCATTCCTGATGGACAAAATCAGGTCCCACTCTGTTTTTCTCATTTGAGAATGCGTTTCACTCAGATGTGTCACATTAGGGAAGAAAAGATTTAATCGCATTTCTGTGTCATGCTGACTTTAAACGTTGTGATTTCCTAGCTGTGTAATAGTGTTGTTGTGTGTGTTTGTATCAGATGAGGAGCTGGAGGACAACCCTAACCAGAGTGACCTGATTGAGCAGGCTGCTGAGATGCTGTATGGACTGATCCATGCGCGCTATATCCTCACTAACCGTGGCATTGCCCAGATGGTATGTTATCCCTGAGTCGTCTAGTCTTTTTAATAGTTTTATTAAAGAAGGACAATTGTTTTCAGCTTCATACGTATGAAGTTGTGCTTGTTTTCTCTTGCAGCTGGAGAAGTACCAGCAGGGAGATTTTGGCTATTGTCCTCGTGTTTACTGTGAGAATCAACCAATGCTGCCCATTGGTGGGTGTCCCATTTATTTTACTTCAAATATATAATGTTTGCCATTGTAATCTTTAGTTTTTTTTTTTTTTCCAAAAATTAGGGATGCTCTGATTGATTGGTATCCGTTGATAATCACTTATTATGAATCAGTTGATGATCTCTCAATTCGATGATCTCATAAACTGATCGCATGTTGACACTGAGCACATGCACACCAATATGGTCATATCTCACAAAAATCAGCTTATTGAAATAACCCGTTGTCCTGGTTTACATGCAAACCAGTAACCTGGCAATGCAATCAAAACGTAGTATCAACACATGCACACTTTGATAAACCAAAAGAAAGCAGGTTAATGTGTTTACATGCTGGGTGAACTTGGCATAAAGAGCAGAAATCTAGATGTGATGATGTGGTTTATGCTTAAGCCGTTTATGACCTTACTCCGATAAAGGAAAGCGGGTTAACACGTTTACATGACCATGTGTGTTATCAGCTTCACTCAGTGCATAACCGGGTTAAGAACGTGTATGTAAATGCACTCAATGTAAAAAAGATGCACACCTTAAAGGGTTAGTTCATGCAAAAATTAAAATTAGCCTGTGTATTACTCACCCTCGAGGCATCCTAGGTGTGTGAGACTTTCTTCTTTCAGACGAATCCATTCGGAGTTATATTAAAATTGTCCTGGCTATTCCAAGCTCTATCATTGCAGTGGGTGGGTGTTTCTGCTCAGTCCAAAACACGTCAAATAAAGCATGCGCATCCACAAAACGTCCCTCACACATCCCTCATCAACTGTCGGACGAGCAAGCCGTTCCGGCGGATGACGTAGGATGCTGGCGTTGCTTGATTAGTGACGAACACGGAGAGAGAACAAAAAACGCCGGTCATGAATTAGAAGTACAAACCGAGGATTTGTAAAGAAAAATGTCGGAGGATTTCGAAATAAGCCAAGAGGAGACTGGTTTTCCTTTGCTAAAGTAAGGAAACTTTGCTTCCTTTGCTCCTGTAAACAAACTTGTGAGATTAGCATATCTCAGAGCCGCGCGTGCGACGCCTAGGCTATGTCCCACATCATCCGCCGGAACGCCTTGCACGTTGCATAAGCTAGAGAAAGCAGTTTATAACATTTTATGGGTGAACTATTCCTTTAATAAAAATGAGGCTTACAAGTTGAGGTACAATTCACATGAGTTTCAGTGAGTGAGTCTAGTGTCTGTTTTTGTCTCCAGGGCTCTCTGACATTCCTGGCGAGGCCATGGTGAAGCTCTACTGCCCTAAGTGTATGGATGTGTACACACCCAAGTCGTCCAGGCACCATCACACCGATGGAGCCTATTTTGGCACTGGTTTCCCCCACATGCTCTTCATGGTGCATCCCGAGTACCGGCCAAAGAGGCCTGCCAACCAGTTTGTGCCCAGGTTTGTCTTTCCTTTATATGGCGGTCACCTGTATATATCTATATAAATGGATTTTCTCACATCTCTAAAATCGCTCAGTTTCTCAGAGCTGTCATTCTCCTCTTCCAGGCTCTATGGTTTCAAGATTCACCCAATGGCTTACCAGCTACAGCTGCAGGCAGCCTCCAGCTTCAAGAGTCCCGTCAAAGCGATCCGCTAAGAACCTGAGCAGGGCAGGGTGGGATGGGATGGGGTGGGTTGTGTGTCCGTCGGCATGGCCTCACTCTTCTCCAACAATTTTAGATTCGACCAAGACTAAGGTTTAAATATGGAGAGAGTGAGACTATAAAACACTCTGGGGAGAAACAAAAACCTTTCCTCTGAAACACTGTACAGAAAACGGGGTGTTCCTTCTGAAAACAATTTCAGTTCTTAACCTCCACATAGAAAATAAAGTTATAATTAAAGATAGATACGTGTAGGATGGCTCTGCTCACTCTCTGGTCCTGTTCGTTTTAGTTTCCTACGGTTAAGTAACGTTCACATACAAGAGTGTCATGAATTGACTTGTCTTATTAGTTCATGATGTGATGTATGGTTGAATATAAAAGTAGTAAGCCAAATATCTCTGCGCAACCAGATATTTGGCTTACTTTAAAACGGCTGTTGCATGAAAAAGGCAGTATATTTTGGATTTGTTTTAAGCTCTGAGTAATATAGCTGGGATCGTCTGTGACTGTTCTTTGTTGACAGAATGCAAGCTTTCAGTGCATGTATTAGAAAAGACCAGAAATGGGAAGACACAAATGCATTCGGGAAACGGTCTCTGTCTTATTTAGACAAATGTTTTGTTTGAATCATCAGTCCTGCACTCCTCGTCAGAACGACGCCAACCTGCTAAGTTCCTCCGGTGTCAAGATTACTTCAGAGATTTTACTAGATTTAACACAGAACCACAATTAGGAAGTTTTTTTGTTTGGTATGGGCCCAGGTTTTTCTTCTCTGGTTTACACCTCTCTACCAGAAGAAATACTTTAAAGAGTAGAATATGTAAATCAGTTGGAATGCATTGGATGTTTTGTTTTATTTAATTTTTTTGTTGATCCTGTTGAATGTTTTTTTTTTCCTTTCGAGTGGTTGAGGAACCAGGGTTCAGAATTCACAATAAATGTCTTTTCCTAAGTTGTGTGAGAGTCCTACATGCCTCCGAGATAAACTCAAAATGTCTGTAATATAATGCTTATGTCATTTACTTACCGCTTTTGTTTTCAAACAGTATCATGGCTGTTTTCCATATCCTGTGGTATTAGTATGCTTTATATTAAGTCTCATAGGCAACTTTTATGGTTCATTTTGGCGCTTGCCTTGGTGCTCGTTCACTTTCATTAAATTGAAAATATTGTGCAGCTTAACACATTCGGTTTTCAAACATTTGAACATGAAATAAACAGCTGACCAAAATCAATTAGTTTAATAAACCAGCATTTTCTGCTCATCAGTGAGTACCTCTTGCTGAACAGAGCTTCAGTTAAATGTCAAACAAACTACCTACATACTAAACCTTAAGGCATAGATACGTAGAAAAAATGCTAGTGACAGGACAACATTCACCATATAAACTGCATCCATTTCACACCCAAACTATGAATAGGCAATAAATAAACATAGCATAACCAATTGTTCAACCCATGTCATAACAGACTGGGTTAAAAGATGCCTTTCCATTTGATCAGGGGCAAGAAACAACAATTGCAAACATTGATAATGGCTCCATATGCTGCTACACCACAAACTGCTTGAACCCAATTACTGTGCATCTACTGCATGAAATCAGATTAGTTTTACCATCCATACAGGGCATGAATATTGGTATTTTTGTAAATGTATGTTGAACAACAATGATAACTAATGTACAGATGGAAATACTGAGTATAAACGGTAAAGAACAGATTAATGAAGCTCATGCAACAAAGAACAAAATGATTAAACAACAAAACAGGACTCCTCAACATAAGCATCAATCTGCACTATTTTCTATCATGTGGACAATATAAATATTGGGGGCCTCAGTTCTAAAGTGAGTACGCACAGATTTGATCTTAGAGTGTGCTTACGCTTAAATCCACACCGATGAAAACTGGCTTTGACGTGGAAAAGTGCTTAGCGTCACGTCAGGGGCCGAGCAGACGCACGCACTTTTTCTTGTTCAAGTATTGCAGGTTTTTGAAAATGTAAGCTGTTCTAAATGAAAGGATTTGGATGATGACTCTTTCATATGTTAATGATATTAATTAGGAGTCGTTTAGAAGGCAGAGAGCTGAAACCATTCAGTTCAAGATCACTTGCGATTCATAGATTTCACATCTGAAAGAGAGGCATATGTGCGCTTTCTGTGCGTACGTTCATTCTATAAATCACATGCACGCATATAATTGAGAGATGATCGTACAATCAAATTTAGGATGGTTTCTGCACAACATTTTATAAATGAGGCCCTGGATCTCTGTATAATTACAATTGGGTTTCTGTTATTGATATGGTGATATGTATGGCTGAACTGCAGCAGAATCCTACAGGACTCTTCACTCTTCCTGAATAACGTTCCGCAACATACAGCAATTTCCCTTTTACCGTTTACAGCTCTTCCTTGACTCCATTCAGAACAAGAGGTTTGGATGCTTCACGCTTCAGGAAGTTGATGAAATCCTTCACTTCACGGGCTCCCTGAAAGAAAACATCCAAAATACAAAGAATGAATATTTACAATGACAAATATACAGTATGGACATGGTAGTTGATATAAGTGATGAGAAACAATAAAAATAAACAATTACCTCATATCGTTTTGGCTCATCTTTCCGGCCAGCAGCGGCAAAGTATATTGTAGGAAACCTGCAAAAGAATAACAAAACATTACCAATGGCTAGCTAAAATCACTACAAAGCATTTGATGAGAGAGAATACATACCCTTGCACGTCATAGCCCTGCGGGATATCATTGGCAGTTGCATCCATCTTGGCGATTATAATATTGGGGTCACTGTATAGCTGAGAGCAGAAACACAGAAACACAGGGTGAGAAGTGATTCAGACAGAGATGAAGACACACTGATGTCATGTAAAACTCACCCGTTCTCCAAGCTCTGTATATTTGGGCTCCAGTTTTTTACAGTGGCCACACCACGGAGCATAAAACTCAATAAGCACATCTTTCTCTGGGTCATTGGCGATCTCTTCAAACGTATCTGCCACAACCACCTGACCACAGACAGCGACTTGTGTTAACGAAGACCAAATGAAACGATCACGCTCATTTAAACACGTGTCTCACTAACCTTGACGGCTCCATTGTTTTTGGCCGGCACAGGCTCTGATTTGATGTAACGCTTCAGTCGCCCAGCAAAATAGTCTTCCAGAAAATTCTCTAAAGACTTGCCATCTCGTCTGAGGAGGGACCAAATTAACAGTTAAAATCACATCATTACAGCTTCTAATGTGTTGATGTACATCATGGGACATAGATAAGTTAAGAATATTATTGTCTTCAAACTATTTTATGATACCAGTCTTATTAATGTGTGTTGAACACTACTGTTCAAACGTTTGGGGTCCTAATTAGTCAACTAATATAATTCATTTAAATATCAAATCATGTTTAATCTCTTCCTTAAAGGGGTCATATGACGTTGCTAAAAAGAACATTGTTTTGTGTATTTGGTGTAATGAAATGTGTTTATGCGGTTTAAGGTTAAAAAAACACATTATTTTCCACATACTGTACATTATTGTTTCTCCTCTATGCCCCACCTTTCTGAAACGCGTCGATCTTTACAAAGCTCATCGTCTGAAAAAGCGATGTGTGCTGTGATTGGCCAGCTATCCAGTGCGTTATGATTGGCCGAATACATCAAGCGCGTGACGAAAATTTGTGATCGGAGAAACGACAAACAACAAGTGCTACTCTACACTGTTCAAAACTCTCGTTTGAATCGTTAGTGGCAAATCATTAGAACGAGCCGTTTTAGGTAGGCGTGGCTGACTCTTAACTTTTATAAATAATATCTAGAATAAAGAATAATATATAATTGATTTGAGACTTTAGTCTTTGCAACTTTACAGATCTTCTTTATGCACCAAGAGCTTGTAACACTCCAAAGAGAAAGGAAAACTTGAAATCGCATCATATGACCCCTTTAAAACTCTGAAAACAGGATCCTCACAGTATGAAGTGTTTGTACTCACGTGAACTCCTCTCTCATGGTGTATTTGTTTCCTGTTCGTGTCCTGATGGTGACAAACGGCAGCTCAGTTGTGTCCGATGAGCCCAGACCGAACTCATCCTCTAGCTCCTCCAAAAAGTCATTACGGTTCGCCACAGAATACAACAGGCCCTGGGAACTGAACTTAGACGCCACCTTCAGCACTCTAAACCAAGAAAGACAGGTATGTACTTTATGACTTCATAATAAACATATTCAATCACTGATTTTAAATGACTCACCTGTTTCTCCAGTAGTTGGAGCCTTTGGGATTGCGAAGATAATCCAAGTCATAGTAGGCCGTCAATAAATCCCTCTTCCTCAATGAATCCTTATTCTCTTTGGTCAGGTGAGGACAGAGTCCGAAACTACAGAGCAAAAGCAATGATTTCAGCATGTGCGGTGTGTGTGTGTGTTTGTGTGTGTTGTGTCAGTGTGGGCTCACATGTTGTCTCTGATGAAGCGGCGCAGGCCTGTGATGGACAGGGGTCCTCTGTGGTGAACCACACGCTCCTCAAACTTACTGCTCAGTCTGGGGGGGCGGAACAGAAGCACAGACCTGCAGGCAAAGGGTTTACAGATTTTAATATTAGTATTTCATCCAGAACACCCAGCTACAGTCAATATTAGTGGTTCTCAATGGGCTTTGCTTTAGGATTTAGACTTTAATCTGGACACTGAGTGGCCACCAAACAAAGTACCAAAATGGTTTATGGCACCAAAGTGAACATAAAATGTCCTTAACATCAAATATCATCATTAACATAAATGAACAAATCCAGCAATATGCAAATGAATGATTAATTTGGATAAGGAGAAAATATAATTTTGCTTAAGAAACATTTCTTATTATTATCAATGTTAAAAACAGAGCCTATTATTATTATTATTGTGCAACCATGTTGGCTTAACTTAGGGCACAATATGTAATTTTCGCCGCTGGAGGGCACGTATTCAAAATAAACAAAGAGGCAAAGGCATAGTTTGATGACGCTGTGACTGAGTGTGGATTTTGGATATTTTAATAAAAAACTCTTACATATTGTGCCTTTAACTTAATGTCTAATTTAGTGAGCTTCTGCCAAATGACAGAGATGAATCTGACATCAACAGCAAAAGATATGTGAAGTGTTTTCCCGTTTAATATGGATAAGCCTATTTATTTTGCTATCCTAACTAAGACCCACTTACTCATATTTGACGTCATATTTCTTTCCGAGCTCTAGGTCTGTGGTGTGAGCAAAGCGGAAACTCTCCCTCATTAAACTGGCTCCTTTAAGAAACTCAGAGACTTGAGAACTGTCAGTCCCTGAGAAAAATCCTGAGAGAAGGATATATTAAAGTAATATAATGCAAGACATTACTCATAAAATACGTATTTTCCATCTATCCATCCAAATTTACTGCATTCATGCATTCAAATTTATATAATTCGAAATCTCGAAATTACATTTGCATTTAGATGTCTTCAATCTAGAGAAGAAATAATAAACACATTTTAGAGGCAATAAAAAGCACTTACCAACTATGCTGGCATCAAAGTTGTTGATAAAGTTCTCCAGGTCATGCTCATTATGCAGAGGCACAGAATCGGGCCCGGCCAGTTTCTTCATATAGTTCACGATTCCCTCTGTTTGGAAATGATACACCCACAATAACATCACCAGCAGATTTGCTATTGCATTTATGCCACACATCATTAAACATACCAGCTGAGCGTGGCCCATCATATGAAATAGATTCCTGTCCGTTCCGAAATATTTTGAGCGTTGGGTATCCAGTGACCCCATAGCGTTTGCAGGTCTCTGTATTAGTAGTGCAGTCCACCTGAACAAAGACCATCATACATCCTTATACCTCTGAAGAACACGCAATGCTCACATCAATCTCTACTCAATCCCCTGTTAACATTACTACATCACA